ACAGGGTTCAACTTTTTATCAGAATTTTCTTATTACCTGCTCCAGATATTTTTATATCCACCTAACCATTTTATAAACCATCCAAATATTCACATCCTGGAGTATCGGCACTCAATTAATTAACATCCTGTATAAAGCTGATGCAGGGGCGACTGTCGGGGTAATTTTTTTTTATTCTCGCGAATTAAGGTGGGGGCGACTATTACGAGGAATTTTCCTCTTTTGCGGAGCCGCGTGTTCGTTCATTTCGCCGGAGTATTTTTGTATTGTGCTCTATCTAGTGCAGTGGAATTTTGCGGGTTAGTTTGCGTAAAGGATCGATGAAGAATTCGCGAAATCCGAGGCGACAGAGCACCGGCCGAACACAAAGATGACAACTATTTCATATATAACCTACCTATTGTCGTTTTTACCACAATTCCCCTATTAAAAACCCTCGTGCTCTATCTAGGTTAGTGCTTCATCAGGTCAAATCCCTTCCACTATTTTATACAATTAAAAAAATAAACAACTTGTCTCTTTGAATGGTATATAAATAAGTTTGTGCACCTTGAGCCGGAGAAGAGAATAGGAAAAGGCCTATCGGGACCTTATGCCTCTAACACCTTGGAGAATTGTGTGGAAAATAGGCTTTTTCTGGCCCCCGCTCGCACGCGGGATCGCGTGAGTGATTCATGTCTTTACCCTATCTTTTTAACTGGTATAAATCAATCCATTCTAAATACGAGTGAAGTTTCTTATTGCCTGGCGGAAATCCCCGGGCGTTTGAGCGCCGCATTAGGGCCTTTGTTTTTTATCGCCATATAAATTCGATTTCGCTATCTGTTTGGTGCCTTTAAAAATTCATACAGCGAGTCTAATTTTACTGATTACTCGAGATAAATTAATCTAAATTAATTTAATCGAGCTCATATATGAGGAGAAATGTACTCACCGATACGCGTCAGCGGGATATGCGCGCATAAATCTTTCTAATTTAAAAATATTCGAGGGAAACCTGGGGATAATGTACGGTTTGTGGTTTTTTCGGAAATCCCCGCGGACAGGTGGGAAAAATAAATATAGGTAAGCTAATTTTTGATTACTAATCAAGGAGCAGCTCCAGAGAATTCAGCGTGAATCAGGAGAGGAACAAAATTGGATTTCTACTTAGAATAATATTCATCATGAAAAATGTATAAACTGGTACGAATTTTCTTTCGCTGACAGGCGTTTAAACTGACAAAATCCGAATGCTTAATCTGCTCCGATGGCCATCCAAAGGGCCTCAAACCTTCATTATCTGTTCCCTTTGGTTTTTGCATACGCGTGTCGTTCCACGCGTTTTTAATCCTTCCGTATGTGTTAGGAACACATGGTTGCATTTTATAATTGATTGAAGTGCACTTTCTGGAGCCTTTCATCTGGAAATTTTCACCAGAAATTTCCCCAAGTACAAAGGTAGAAATAATAGCGGCGTGTGTAACGACCAGGGCCGATCCCGGTGCGGAATTTTAATCGTATTTTTAAGCATAATTCTGCGAGAAAAATAGCGTATAGATAGTAATTTTTTTCGGGATGGAAACGGCCCTGCGGAATTAATGGTTACACGCGGACGTTCAACATTCTGACTGCTCAACCAGACGGGCCATAAATATTTTTTGTAGGTTTTAGTCTATGAACTCGCCCGTTCATCGAGTCATTAATACCCAAAAAAAAACATCGAATATACAAAGCCTTTGTGTCCGTTAACAATGCTCGCGCGAGTGTAAAATTAGAGTAAATTCGAATTTGTTTGCGGATCTGTTTCTTATCGAATAATTTGTGGATAATTTCTGGAAAAATCGGAATGTATTCCAACCAATTTCGCTGGGGCTATTCTCGACGAGGGACGTTTAAAACGAGGGTGTGAATAATGAAAAAGTCGTCGAAACGTGCAACGAAATTATGCTCGTATATATTCATAGGAAATGAGCCGATAACATGCAATTTATAATTACAGGTTGATGAATAAGGCCGTATGATTTATTCACAAGTAACCGAGCCCCGACGAATATAATTTTTTATACCGCATATTTCGATCATTCTCATAGGTACAGAGCGTTAGAAATAGCTAGAGACGCCACCTGCGCGATTTTCTAACGAAAACTGCGCTTGTATTTTCCCCATCGCCGCGTTAATAAACCCTTTAATAATTTAACTCGGAAACTACACCAATTCGAGCCCGCGTATACGCGCATTCCGGCTAAAGGAAAAGCTTTACGACCGCCGGCCTCGTATAAAAGCGTTCTTTTTTTTACCTATTCCGTTTCTGAATAATCTCGCTCTTGAAGTTTACGACACGGAGAAACTTACGCATGTTGGAGTGCGATCGTAAAAGTTACATTCGCGGGCCCCGCGAGCACGTTCTCCTCGAAAAATATGGAAGGGTTTCCTGAGTGGATCGCGAACGTTCATAGAGCCCCCGACTTTTGCTCGATTATTTCATTCGTTTCCGCGATTAGTTCGAGTTATCTCAAATAGGCGAGAGCGAATCTTTTTCGTCACAATTTCCCGCTCTTCTTTCGAACGCCCGCCATTAATGGAAGTTAATCCGGATAATATGAGCTCCGGCTATATGACGACATTTTTCACCGTTATTACCCGACTGCATTTCGGTGTCTTTTAAATTACAAAAATAATATTTCACGGTATTATACGCGGTAAATTTATTAGGAGCCGTTCTAATACGAAAAGTGGACGGGAACCAGCGGCGTATCGCCCGAACAGTAACTAAAAATCCTCATTTCCTCGCTATTAAAAAGTTTATTAAATGTTTATACGTAACTTTGTTAAAGTATAAAATGTAGGGTATAAAATATTTTTTGATATAAAAATTATTTTCCCTGAGGCACGGCTGTGGTGACTCCGGCAAGGAAGAAGAGAAATTGTCCCGTTCCTGGTATAATGGTGTGGTGATTGCAGGAGGATTATGTAGGATGAGCGTAGATTACACAAAGATCCTGCCCATGGTTCAACACCACTGCTCGGTGTGTCAGGATTTAGTCTTTTATTCGCGTTCATTAAATTTAAGCTAATAATTAGTCCCTCTAAACAATCTCGGATTATGCGGCGGAATTCGGGTTCATTACGAATTTATTTAATTATTATTTTAATCTAATTTTACGACGAATTGCGCCATTTTACAAACGTCCCCTGGTCGCCGGAGATAAAGCACACCGGCAATAATGAAACTGTCGTCGAAACTGTCACAATAGTAGAGACGTGAAAAGCCCTTTTGTTAACTTTTAATATTTTTTTTATTTCGCTAGATACAAAGCGCGCCAAAAGGATTTATTGTTTCGTTTAATTTTTTTCCTTATCGCCCGTCCGCAGCGCTCTATTGAGCCCTACGTACGGACAAATAGTTTCTTAATCGCATTCGTTACATTAAACGACACGCTGACATCGAATATGCGAACTTTACGAGCGCTCAACCGTGTTTGCCTTTTGCTAATTTCATATCCTGCACAGCCGAACCGAACCGGCAATTCGCTGATTGATATAGATTTCAGTCAAGTGCGGAAGGATAACCGATTGATGTCACTGACACGGCGACGATAAACTTATTATCTCCCATGGATGGGCCCAAATGACGTGAAAGCTAATCATCGACGGAAACGATAACTCCCCGAGATCGATGTATCGATCGTCGCGGAGTTTCGCTAATTTCGCTCCGGCCGTTTTTAATTAGCTAAATAGAATCAGCGCTGTGTTTCTTAACCGGAGTTTATGTTCGGCAGTAAACCATGAGATTAAAGCTATAAACTGATTGCGCAACTTTCGTCGATTTCGTTGCGACCCAACAAAAAAAAAACACACACACCACCGCCGAATCCCTTCCTGTAAATAGGATCCCGATCTCGGCGGATTATCCGTTTCCTTTTATGATGATAATAAAATTAATCTAATTAACAGAATAGACCCGACCAGAAGGTCCGAGTGCTAGGCTAAACTTTGTTCAGGGGAGATAGAGCGGGACATGTTGCCGCCGCCGCTAATCCTGGTATTACTACTATTTAGTGCTGCTTTATGTAATCCCCTTCTGTGTTGTACAGATAAAGAATTTAACGAAAATTTCATCGAAATTCTCGGGTCGTTTTCAATATTTATTTACCGGCAACGAGGTAATTATTAATTCATTAATTACCCTTCTGTCTCGCGATCGGATTTTAACTCGATTTGCAAAGTCTTTAAATTTAACTTACGTCGCCCTGTGTGTGTGTATATAAAGCGACAAACTGTCTTATTGGCCTTCCGTATGCGCGGGGTAAATTAGATTACCTCCAATTACGATCAATTTATTAATTAATCTATCACGTCAAACCAATTAGAGTGATATAACTGGAGTGGGTGATATATTCGCGATAATGGAAGGAAGTTATATGCGTTGTGAGTGATGGTTTTGATATTGGATTAGCTCGGTTAAAAGCTTTTTTGAAGTTTTAATAGGGGTTCTATCGCGATCGGTTATTTCGGAGATTTTGAAATAAAGAGTTCAAAATGGGGTAATCACACGTCAAATTATATCTTCATTAAATATTTCAATCAGAGTTTGAATTATTTTTATATCAAATTTGATTTGTAATATAATACACGTTTTGATTGAAATTTATTTATTAATATTGAATTCATCAGAATCACCTGGTAATTTAATATTATAATATTTTAATATAAATAAATAAATATTTCTTTTTATTTTTCCTCTTTTTTTTTTAATTGCGGTCTTCATCTGAATGGGTTATTCAGTTAGTTGGCTGAAAATTAGTGTGGACAATAAAAAGTGTTTAATTGTACAAAAATCATTAAAAAACATCTAATGTTGTAATTCGTAATATTATATTCGTACTAGACTATCACAATTTCACGATTTAAATGATTGTATTAATTAAATTGGATCAAAAATGGCGTCTCTCGCAAAACATGGAATCTGCTTTATCGACCGAGTGCGCACATGTCACAAACGTCAAAACTGTCAGATGAATTTGTTAAGTTAACCTCAAACGTGCGGTGTTTTTTTTGTAATTTGTTTGTGTATAAAAGAGGCGAGTGAGCGAAGCAATAATGCCGAGTACGGATAAATTCCAGTTAGTCCTGTTCGAAGGGGATTTCGCGCTGCCGGCCATCGAGCCGGAGAGCATAAAATCGATACTGTACTGCAAAATAGCCGAGGCGCCTGTGACCGTGAGACTGTTCAACAGCTACAGGAATTGCGCGTTGTACAAGACTCCGCCGCTTCTGCTGCACGATAAGGTTACGTGTACAGACTCCGAGCAGATCGTCGCCTACTTAAAGTGCAATAATTTCAACATAGATCGCGAATTGGATCCCAAACAGCGCAGCGAGTGTTTGGCTTTGAAGAATCTAGTCCAATCTAAATTAAAACCGGCGGTGGAATTTAATTATTGGATAGAACACAGAAATTCCACGGAGTTCTTGAATATATGGTTTATGAAATGCCTACCTATTCCTTTGAATTACTTTTATACGGGGAATTTCAGAAACCGAGCGGTGGATTTGATGGAGAGCTTGTACCCGAACGAAACCGATAAAGACGTGATAAAGGAGTACATACAGAGGGCCGCTATCGATTGTTTACAGAGTTTATCATCGAGATTGGGCAACGGTGAATTCTTTTACGGCTCCAAACCCACTACCTTAGATGTGGCTGTATACTCGTACGTTGCACCGTTCATCAAGATACCGTTTCCTTTGAACGAAATGTACAACGTTGTCAATATGTGGCCGAATTTGGTGAATCTCGTGAAACGTATCGATAATTTGTACTTCCCGAACGTGCCCAAAGGCTCGAAGTATATTCGATTAGAAGACAAGGCGAAGACCACCGATGACGAAGTATCGTACGCAGCCATTGTTATATTGACTCTCAGCGCGACTAGTTTGATATTAGGATTCGCTTATAAGAATGGATATTTGACTGGGAAAATACCCGATTAAATGGGATTTAATCGTTCGAAAACCGTGTGTTCTCTAGTCTTAAGTTTTTGGGTATTACAAATACAAATTGTTAGGTAATATGTGGTAATTAAGTGTATCACAACATGAGATTTTTTAAATTGTATTGCATTTTCTAAGTAGACTGTTCTTAACTGAAAATTTTGATACAAGCAGAAACTGTCTTTGTTTATCGATTTTACTTATTTGAAAAAATAAAGACTGATATTTAATTAATTTAATGTAACGCAAACTTGTTTTTTAATCCTCCTAAATGCACATTAACTTTAGCGCTCCTTTCATGTCGAAGGGACATTCCGATCGTCCCCTCAAACTTTGTTAAATATATGTTACTCGACTCGGAGTTCTTTGCGAATGCAAAACAATCCATGAATCACCGTTTAGCGAGCGAAACACGAGACTTAAATAAGCAATTATATCCCGAACTTGCGCCCCTACTTCATATTTATACGTCCTAATAAAGGAAATAAAAGGCGAGGATTACAGTTCGAAGAGGGCCGGGGGGGCCGGTTTTTGATTTAGAAAGGGGATCGGCACCGGATTCAATTAGGTACACAAATTAAACGTCAGCGCCATTCTTCGCCTTGATATAGTACGTCTGCAGGATTGTTTTGGTAATGCAGGTATCTCGGTTCGGTGCACGACGGCCGTCGAGAAATGCGCCCGTTTTAATTGCAATCGAAATTTATTCGCACCCGAAACTTTGCACCGAAAACAACACACAAAATTCGCCACTTCAATGCTCGAATTTACCGAGGTATGCGAAAAACGTTACGACTTGGCAACGTCGCAATATATTTTTCTGCCGCACAGTGTTTATACTTCTTGGCGAACGGAAGACGAATCTCCCTCTTGTATCAATTTTGAAAGATTTAGGGGATTGCAATTCAAATTAGCGATTTATGCGCGATTCGAAAAAAAAAATGTAAAACCTCAAGAAATACAATTCTCCGCGGCGGGCGTATGCAAATGCGAGGGGTACTTTGGCCGGATAAGTTCCTAGAGGGGCCCGGGGCTCGGACTTTCATCCCCCCGGTTATTTTCACTCCAAACACGAATACGGGGAAGATGGAAATCGTGTGTACCTACATAAAAACATCCTCTCATTTCTCACTTAACAATTTTATGGATTCCGAAGTATCGCATAATCGGATATGTAGTGGAAATATTCCGGTGGCTCGTCCGTAAAATAGGAATAAATCGTCATAAAGAGCTCGTCTAGTTAGTTGTAATGTTTCAACTATTTGTTCTCGTGTACCTAAATCCTTTATGTAGAGGGAGAAAAGGTAAATGGAATTGTTTTGGTGGATTTGGGTAAATGTTTGATGTTTCTACCAGAGACCTCTTCTCTTATTTTTCTACACTTTGTGCTGTTCTTCTTACATTTCCCTGCGCTTGTGTTACAGTTAAGCTAATACAATATTCAGTTTCGAACAAAATAATAAAATTAACGCAGTAAAAAGCGCATTAATAAAGTTCGCAAACTAGGCGAAATCGTTTTTATTGACGGAAAAGTTGCGAATTAACAGCGAGCTGCATTAGTAAGGTATATTTTCTCTTCGCCTTTCGTTTTGTTTTAATTATTTTTATGAACCTAATGCAGGCGAACGTAATCCTTTTATCGGGCAAATCCCATTATAATGCGAGGCCGGAGACAAAGTGAATTTTAAGAGCTTCTAAAAATTACGCCGACTCCCCTGATTAAAGCCGAAACTTTTTGATTCTAATTGAAAAATGCATTTATATCGCCCATCTCGCTACTAAATCGCTGTGATAATTTCTAACTTTTTCAACCAATACTAGATGATTCCGAAATTGCCTAATTTTTCATCTTCCTTGTATACACGCAAGCCGGGAAATTCCGTCGCTCCAGCCGTTTTTCTAAGATTTTTAACGAGCCACTTCGTGCAGCGACATTTTAATTTGGCGCGTTAATTACGAGTGTATCAATCTTAGTTTAAATTTTCCGGAATAATCTCTTCTGCGTGTTCCTGCGAGGGCAGATAAATGCCCTCGACGTTGCGGCGCTTCAGGAGTTTATCGCCGCATTTAAAGATGATCTTTTCGGGGACGGTCACACCGCCGCCCCGCCGCCTCTTCTCGCAGACAGTGTAAAAGATGCTTCATTACTGATGTTTACGATCAGCTACACAGTAGCGGTTTTTATGTATTATTTCTAGCAGCTTGACTGAGTGATTGGGTTATTTCTTAAGTAGTTGTATGAGATGGGTGTTTGTTGTTATGAAAAGTGTAGTTTAGTACTTGGGAAAGTTTATTATCACGGCTAGATTAGCGGTTTTTGTAATGCAATTTTGGTTGCCTACTTTTAAGAAGCGACTTTAAACATTTGTAAAAACGTGAGTACTTTCTTGTGTTACCTGCGCGGAAATTATTCCTGTAATTTGATAAAAATTTTCATTTCCCGCGACCTTTCCACCTATACACGGAATCCCACTTATCTTATATTCGCCGCCCTAAAAACCACCGCAGGACCTCCGAAGGTTTTCGGGGGATAAAAGCTTTAACTAATTCTAGTTTTTCGGGCGGTGTCGGAGATGCGCCGCTCTGCATGGACGACGTCTCGTCGGAAAGTTCGGCGGTTTTTCCAGAGGAAATGAATCGGGAAATTTGTTTTATAACGAAGCGGTCGGTCCGTTCGCAGTATGGGCGTTTCGACGGCCCCTTTATGTGGAAATAAAGTTTCCCAGGGAAACGATTTATGTGAAATTAGGCGGACGCTAACTCGCTGAAAGTGTAAATTAATCATTTTTTTATCGTTTCCTCTATAACAGCCGTTAATTTTCGTTTGTTAAATGCGAGTATTCGGATTCCTCCGTAGTTTCTACTACGTAGGGATTTTTATTCGTTTAAATAAGCGCTTTTCCGCCGCATCGAGGCTCTTAAACCCGCGCCATGGGTGTTTAGTATATATTTTTTTTTGGTTAATAATACACTCGAGAGGAGAATAAAAGTACTAACAATCCGACGGGAAGTCGTTCTGTATTCGTAATAGGGCGATTCGATTTTCGACTTTTCCGGCTCGGGTTTTTCCAGCCCCGCAGAACGGCGTTTATCTCGACGTTTCCAGTGGCGAAAGGAATAAAAATTTACGACGAGGCGCGATCGGCGGTTCGCGCTATAAAAGCCGGTTAAAATAAGAGTATATCTACAAATAACGCAGATTTCCACCATTTCATTTGGTTATCCGCAGCAAAAGTTCGGAAAATTTTTCCTTATGTCGGAAGAAGCGATAGAAGAAAAGGCAACACAGAATATATCATAGAAGTAGGTAAAATTTGGACAACCTGTAAATGTGTAATTACCAATAGAAAGTGAAATAAAATTGATCGGTTTGTGTGTGGGGATTATTTTATTTCGGTTTGTAAAATGCGATGCATTTGCATTCATGCGAAGGCGAATGAAAATAGGCGTGTTAATATATTTTCTATTTGGGAAATTCGATACAAAATATGTCAAAAGTTAAGCTTTTGTCGCGCGCTCGTTTGGTTTTCCCGATCAGTTTTATATATGTACAAATATATGAGAGCGTCGCTATTTTTCGAAATCCATTTCTCAAACCGACGCTATACGCCGCATTTACAAATAAGACATGTAAATTTTCCATCGAATAAAATCAAGTAAATTCCCGACAATATTCATGCATATTTCAATATTCCAAACACTGCGTCTCGTATATAGACGGTTTTCCTTCCTCTCTAAAAATATGGGCCATATGCATATTATTTTCACGTATTTCCCCGTCTCGACGAACCGGGAAATTAGGTTACCGATTCTTAACTCCCATACCGAATCCACTAGAATACCTAGAAGTTTCGTTTTATTTTTTCTCGCATCGCCCAACTTTCTCCCTTAATCAAAAAATTGCTAATCTCCCAAACGAGACACGTATAAATACAAAAACAACGGACTCATCAGGAACAACAACCGAATTAGCGGAAGACGTGACGCGATATCGCATTTCAATTTACTTCTCTCGCCTTATCTCCCCCTACGTCCCGATCGCCCCCGCACGTTCGCTTTGTCATACAAGAGGAAAATAGTTTACTATATCACTTTTGTTCGCGGCGGAGTTCGAAACACCGGAAAAAATATATACACTATATGGCGGAGTTCCGAAACTTTGGGTCAACAACATCTCTTCCATCTAACTGGCAAGATTTAACATAAATTTCCCATTTCATCCTAAACTAAACATTCGGAAAGTTCGATGTCTACTGGGCGATCTTTCCACACCTATTAACTACGGGTAATTGATAAAGAAATGTGTATACTAAAAATTTAGTATTACTGGTAGAATGTGTCCAGCGATAAGAACATCGCGAACGGGCTGAGGAAAATCCATTCCGATATAGATTCGCACGTGCATAATGAGCGCGATAAAGTCGCAATCTCGCCGGAAATCTCTTCCATAACAGTCGCTAAATTCGTTACGGATTAAGGCGGTAACTCAAACTACTTTGGAACTATCGCGCGGAACATTAGCGAAACCTTTTCGGAAAACAAACCGTTTACGAGCAACGCGATACATTATACATTCGAACGTCTCGGTGCAGACGACACCTTTAGAGTAAACGGAGTAGATGAATTTTCCTGCGGATTTCCCGCAGTCGTGTAAATGCGCCAAAATGCAACGACACAGATTCGCCATTAACTCTTCGTTTTTTTATATAGTCGTGGATGCGAGTGTAGTTTCTTTATTTATCTACTAACTTACGGTGGAATACTTAAAGCGCGTAGGGTTAATATTTTATCGTCTACTTCGATGATTTACCGTTTATATTGCGGCAAAAACTCGGGTTTCGGAAAATTAAGCACGAAACCCTTTTGCATACAGCTAAAACAGTCGGGCAATTAAAGATTTTAATGCAGCTCTCTGAACCGAAAACAAGTCGAGGATCGTTTGTTTTTAGGTCTTTTGTTTTTATCAGGAAATTTCCAGAAATATAAAAGGGATAATGCCGTTCTTGCCGGTCGTAAATTTAACCGGCAGCCGGCAAAGGAAGTCGTGATCTTCCATGTTATTTTCGTCCTTCGAGGACGACGCGCTGCTATTGATATATCGTCCTTTCTCTATATACGTCCTAAAGGATACATATACATTCGATTTTTTTCCTCGACATTCCCGCGATCAATCGCGAGGTAATAAACACAACAATCGGCTGTATGGCGATTCCTAACCGGACTCAGCTTCATTCGTTTTCTGCATGCAGTCAAAACCGTTCGCGAGATATTCATTGCGGCCGCTTGCCACTCATCCGTCATACTTGGCGAACGGATTGTTCCGCCACATCCCCCACGAACATTCTGACTGCATAACACTGCAGAAAGTATATGGTTGCAGGCGGGGTCGAGCCCAACAGGAACGGCCCGCAGGAATTCCAACCCCGAAATATTCGCATAGCAAACTCCATCATATTCGTACATACAGTAAAAGAGTTGTCAACTGATTGATTGATTAGTTTTGATACTATACAGTTTGGTACTACATTCTCACTACCTTTACCGCCATCCTCAAACGAAATGTGTTTAAAGAATAATTGTGAGTTTATTTGTAGTAGTAATTTTGCAGTTAAAAAAATAAAGTATTTTTTTTTCAATTGTGTATGTGAGTGAGTGTTTGTGTGTGTGTGTGGGGTCCGATCCTGTGGGGAAGTAACGCCGGTGTAATGCCGGTAACGTACCGAAAGTGGCATTGTTACAAGTGCTGCATTATACATATTTATACATTTCTGATGGGCCTATACGCCGGGACCGGGGATGAACCTGACAGGCTCATATTTATGCAGACGAAAAGTGTGAATAATATTTATTTTATATGGGTTCTCTGGAGTTTATATCGCGTCACGAGTCGCGACGGATGTGCGCGCAAAATAAAACGGGGCGGCGGCGTTTTAGAAATGTGTGGATTTTTTTGCCGGTCCGAGTTTCGCCGTGGATTTTGACCGACGGGCACAATGGGCGGCTGTTTTCGGGTAAAATGGGATTTTCATTTGTACGCGGAGTCAAAATGTTACGTAGTTCGGTGTAGTTGCAAGACAGGCGCGCATTGTGCGCCTATCAAAGATTGTTTCTCGTTTGTATATGATGGGTTTTCATTTCAAATTTTTTTTTCCAACAACAATGCTTTCGTCTATTCGAATTTTGTAGTTTTTTTCAATTACCTGGCTTATTAAAAATGCCACATTTCGACTACAACAATCATTGAAATAAAACGAAAATTTATCTAAAATACACAATTTATTTACTCACAGCACAATACTTACATATACTTATTTTTTATAACTGTAGAACCCTTCTCCGGTTTTCCTGCCCAATTTGCCGTCTTGCACCAATTTCCTCAAGTTATCCGGGCATTTGAACAGAGCGTTGTCGGGGTATTTTTTATACCAACCGTCCAAAATGAACAAACATGTATCGAGACCGGTATAATCCGCCAATTCGAGCGGCCCCATTGGATAACCCGCGCCCAATTTCATCGCCGTGTCTATATCTCGAGCATTAGCATCCCCTACAAACAAACATAAATATTCCAATATATAATTTTTGAGGTAATATGCACTGACCTCTTTCTAGTAACCTAGCTGCTTCGGCTAGATAAGGTACTAGCAGTCTATTGACGACGAATCCGGGCGTATCCTTGCATGTAATGCAAGATTTTCCCAGCGATTTACCCCAATCCATCATCGCTGTGTAAGTTGCATCGCTGGTTTCCGGAATTCTGATGACTTCTAGCAGCTTCATTACAGCTACAGGATTGAAGAAATGCAGTCCACCGAATCTGTCTTTCCTATATTTACACATTAACAAGTACTATAAAGAAGCTACAGCGGGTAATTAGACCTTTACCTTTTGGTTACCGAGGCGATTTCCCCGATGGACAAAGAGCTGGTGTTGGAGGCGAATATTGTTTTGGTTGGAGCCGCCTCGTCCAGGCTTTTGAACAATTTGTGCTTGATGGTCATGTTCTCGACGACGGCTTCGATGACGAGATCGGCTTCGGAGATGTTCTTCAACGGGTCCACGTCGAATTTGATCCGGGATATGGTGTCGGCGACGAATTTTTGATCGCCATTGTGCAGCTTCTTGGCGACGCGAGCCAGGCTGGATTGGATGTTGCTCTCGGATTTTTTTATTATGTCCGCGTTTACGTCTACTAGAGTTACGTTCTGGCCGGCTTGAGCAGCTACCTAGACATTTTTTTTGGTTTATTAGAATATTATAAGTAGAGGGAATGTTAGTAGTAAAGGGATGCCTAACAAGGTGTTCTATTATCTAACAAATTTCAATGCCTTTAATGATTTATACTAACATAGTAAATTCTACAAAAATGGTATTAATTGTATGAAATAAATTGGTGTTTTTGGGCAACCACCTAACCTCAATTCGTTCTCGCAACGTATACACACAATTTAAAAATAGACCGAATTGTGATTAACTTACCTGCGCAATGCCGGATCCCATCAATCCGCCGCCGATAACCGTGACATTTTTTATGGCGTTGAGCGCGATATTGGTAGAAAAACCTCTTTTGATCACGTTCGAAACGGCAGCCATTTTAACGCGACGCGCCGGTTTTATTTCTGTTTTCAGTCGGTCAACAGCTGGTTGTGTTTGTCGGGAGGAGTATACACATAGTACAGATACACCGGTTGTTGGGTCGAGCGAGTTCGAAGCGACGGTGAGGTCGAGCAGAGTCTAAAGTTCGATGTCTAAAAACCCGTCGGGCGGGTACAGTAGCGGCGCAAAGGTTCGGTTTTCTTCGTGTAATATAAACAGTTCTTCAAGAAATTACCTGTTTTTAATACCGAAATTCCACACTACTCTTCTCTACTCTCTTTGCTACAAAGCTCCAAGAAGAAGGAATTGCTCGTCAAAAATTAACAAACTTTTATAGTAACAAATCGTTTATTAAATTATTTGGTGTACTTGTAATATCCCTCTCCCGTTTTCCTACCCAACTTCCCTTCCTTGACCAGTTTCCTCTGGATTTCCGGCGGATTGAACAGCTCGTTGTCGGGGAACTTCTTATGCCAACCGTCCATAATGAACAATCCCGTATCCAATCCGGTGTAATCTGCCAATTCGAACGGTCCCATCGGATACCCAGCTCCCAATTTCATCGCAATATCTATATCTTCAGCGCTGGCATCACCTGCGAAACAATCCCTCATAAACACAATCCCACCAGGTGGATAGACAAAATCTTACCTCGTTCAAGCATCTTCATGGCTTCGGCCATGTAGGGCACCAGCAGCCTGTTGACCACGAACCCCGGGGTGTCCTTGCAGGTGATGCAAGTCTTGCCGATGGCTTTCCCCCAGGCCATCATGGCCTCGTAGGTGTCGTCGGTGGTTTCGGGTATTCGCACGACCTCCAGCAACCTCATCACCGGCACGGGATTGAAGAAGTGCAACCCGCCGAAGCGGTCTTTCCTCTTCGTTACCGAGGCTATCTCGCCGATGGAGAGCGAGCTGGTGTTCGATGCGAATAGAGTTTTGGCCGGCGCCGCCTCGTCGAGGCGCTTGAAGAGATCGTGCTTGAGGTCTAGGTTTTCCACGATCGCTTCCACCACCAGGTCCGCTTGTTCCACGGCTTTCTGAGCGTCTGGAGAGTACTTTACGCGCGATAAGGATTCTTCGATGAATTTCTTGGCGGCCGCGGTATCGTCTTTGTGGAGTTTCTTGGCTACTCTGGTTATGCTGGTTTGTATGCTGGCTTCGGTTTTCTTGAGGACATCGGGGTTTACGTCGACTACGGTTACGTTTTGTCCGGCTTGGGCGCTCACCTTGAAGTTAGAGCTAATATTTTCCGAGGGTTTAAATCGAAGGGAATTTACTTACTTGCGCTATGCCTGATCCCATCAGTCCTCCGCCGATCACGGTTACATTTTTAACGATGTTGTTGAGAGTTGTGGTAGAAGAGAAGTTTCTTTTTAGTATATTTCCGACGATAACGCTCATGTTGTCGCCGCGGTTATCGGTAGATTAGTAAAAATTACTTTGTAACTGCGATTTTTATCGGAGGTTTCTAAAAATACCGCAGTGTTGCGAGATGTATTTGTTATTTTCATTAGAGAAGTACCTACATTATTGTGCACATCGAGTGGGTTGTGTAAAATATTGATTGAAATTCGATGTGAATGGAATTGACGATTCAAGGCGTTTGTATAATACAGGAGAAGAATACTAAAGAGTTGAAGTTACTTTGAAAGTGGACTAAAAATATACACACAATTATGATTTTTTTTTAAATCTGACAACACTGGCTACTCGACACGTTCAAGGACTCTAGGTGGAATAATGTATACGATTTTATCAGTAATATTTTACTATCTTTTTCACTATTATTATAAATTGAAGGCTGTAAAAGTACCTAATTAATATAGTAAGCTTAATGAGGTTAATTTGGTTAAACTAAATTTTTTATCATCGTTACGAAGTCTGGTCATGTTTTATTCAGCAGAAATCTAATATTCCAGTTCGGGTCTAGCCAGTAACTGCTTTTGCCCTACCTGCATTATCGCCTCTAGTAAACATTGATGAATGGTGATTGAGTAGGTATCGGGAGATTACACGGGAATTTCGGTCCGTCCCGTTGTGTTTCGAAAATTCAATTCAAGATTAAAATCTACATATACTATTCCTCATTGTAATGCTTTATTAACATTTCGCGTATTTATAAAACCCTTCGCCGGTCTTCCGGCCCAATTTACCTTCCTCGACCAATCGCAGCAAAACGGCGGGCGGTTTAAATAGTTTATTCTCGGGGAATTTCGCATGCCACCCTTCCAAAACGAACGCGCAGGTGTCCAATCCGCCGTAATCAACCGCCTCCAGCGGTCCCATGGGGTACCCAGCGCCCAATTTCATGGCTGTATCGATATCTTCAGCTGTCGCATCGCCTAAAAATAACACCGATATAACACAAAATTTACCAAATTCGCCACAGAAACCTCTTTCCAGCATCCGCATTGCTTCAGCCACGTAAGGCACATTTAGCCTGTTCATTATGAATCCTGGCGAATCCTTGCAGGTTATGCAAGTTTTTCCTAAACTCCTTCCAAAATTCAACATGATTTGGTAGGTTTCTTCGGTTGTTTCTCGCGTACGGATGATTTCCAGTAGCTTCATTACTGGAACGGGATTGAAGAAGTGCAACCCGCCGAACCGATCTTTTCTATCAGTAGCTGAAGCTATTTCTTCGATGCTGAATGAGCTTGTATTGGAAGCGAATAGCGTTTTCGACGGTGCGGATTTATCCAAACGCTTGAATAAATCGCGTTTGAGGCGTAAATTTTCTGTAACAGCTTCTATTATCAAGTCAGTTTGCTCTGCAGCTTGTTGGAGATTGGTGGAATATTTTATACGCGATAGAGATTCGTCGATGAATTTTTTTCCTGATGTCTCGTCGGTTTTGTAGAGCTTTTTGGCTACTCTAGTTAAGCTGCTTTGTATCGTTTTTTCGGAGTTTTTTAGACAGTCCGGGCTTATGTCTACAAGAATTGTATTTTGACCGGCTTGGGCTGTTATCTGGAAGAATGTTTTAATATTTACTGAACATATCGGGGATGTTATTTACTTACTTGCGCTATTCCTGATCCCATTGATCCACCGCCGAGCACAGTCACATTTTTTATCGAATTATTCAAAATAGTCGAAGTGGAGAGTTTCCTTTTTATTACATTCCCTGTTATTCTTTTCATTGTAGTTCAACTATTCCAGGTAAATTGAAGGTAATAGTATGTACTTTGCGGTATTATTATCGAAAATATTTAAATAAAGCATTGTTGCCAGATTTATTCGTTTGTCTAGTGATTTAAAGAAATGTACCTTGGGAATTAGGATGCAAAAATATTTTTCTCTTTAATTCTTATAAACAATTTATAAATATAGAAGTGTGTATTACATTTACTGAAGTCCAAAGTACCTACTGTAGATAAGGCAAGAATATAATCGCATTATTTACTTTACAATTAAATGCAAACTCTTACGTGTTTCAAACATATTTATTTATACACTTACATTATTTTTTATCGAGATTCGACTTGGGGAACGTCGCATCAATAATTTATACATTCTGTATAACATTTAAATGATTGACCTATGCAGGAGCTTCGGCAACCGGAACACGTACCGTCCTGAAGAGATAAATTCCCGGGGAGCCTTCCCGAAATTAACTTTTTAATGGCCCGAAGATCATAAAATGTTTCGGAGCAACTCGAATTATGTTGAGGGCGTAAAACCCGGACGATAACTCTAACGCGAGCCGTGTTATTCCTTTCGATTCCCGTAAATCTCTCTAAAATATTTGTAAGGTACACATGTATCGGGAAGCGGGTTTTAATATGCGCGTGTGAGAGGATTAAAAACGCGGAATTAAAGGGAATTTGTAGGGGGATAAAAGTCGCAAGGACAATCATTTATCCGGGCGAAAGGAAACGCGAACAATGTATTCTCTCCATCAGGCCGTAAAAGCCGTTCCTTGTATTTTTCATAAGACAATTTATCTAAAAGTAACTCGTGAAATATTTAAGGCAGTTTTTACCCTTTAAGACTCGGCATGTGACAGTGATTTTTCTAACTCCTTATTCCGACACTGACGTATAAGCGAAAGAAATCAACAAACACGGGGCGCGAGAGGACTCTTTCTTCTTTTTTCCCTGCATTTTCTCGGGGCGCTGGAAGTCAGTTTTACACGCTGATAAATTTGAAAAGCGGATGATGAAATATTTAACTTTTCACGCCGGTCGCAATGTACCGGAATATTTTATATTCCCAACTTATACGACTACAAAGAACAGTCGACTCTTATTAAGATATATTCACTTTTTTTTCCTATACTTTGTTTGAAATTTATTATTATTACCTATAGATTATTATTATAAACACTAGTTAAAATTCATCGTAAATAAACAGATAAGTATAAATTCCAATTAAAATCACTCGATTCTTAAAATAGCGATAAAGAATCTTAACGTCTGTATCATCCCGATTTATTTTTTTCTTCGTTTTATTATGATTTATGTCGAAATTATAACTCCGAATCCGACGTGAAATCGATATTCCATCGGAACGCGGCCATAACTAATATCTTTATTAAAACCGGCTACCAGAAACAAAAAGAATTAAGTCGTCAGGGAGAGGATGATGCGGCAACTGTTGTGTGAGAACATCAGGAAAATGATAGGTCAAGAACAAAATCCTCCAGGGATGTATTAAAAACTATATGAGATATAGAAATTAATCAAGATAGTTGTGACGTCTTGTTCGGTTGTTAATGAACGAAGTATACCCAATATTTTAGTTTAGATTGCATTATATGTACATATGATATCGAATTATTATTCCAACATGAAACTAATATCGTGGAAACAGTGTTTGCCTTATTATCGTAAAAAACGTACATTATTGTCGGTTAATTTATGAAAATGAAACGATAAAAATCACGTTTTTTTCCTAGGCGATAATCAGTAGCATCTTCATTAATTCCGGTCGGAATTTATGGGGAATTTCGTCGTTATTGAGATAAATTATTTTTTCCTCGACGAATACATTAACCCGAGATGAAGACGTTTCCAAATTTATCTGATGGAATTATACGAATTTAACACGAACCGTCCGATGTTTTCGACAATTTTTCGTCGCGACATCAATTAAGACGGAAACTAGGAAATCTTTTTCTGATTAAATCGGAGCTCCTAGACGCCAAATTGAAATTCAACGTTGTTTAAACGGATTTAATCTTGTTAGTAGGCGCGTGACAGTATCGGATTGAAAAATAAAAATGCCACGGGGGTAGCAGAAATTCTTAATTATTTCGCGATTGTATACACACACAGGGAGGATCCGAGTTTCAGTTGACACAAAAATACTCGATTTTAATGCGTTTTAAAAAGTTAATTGCCTCATGCACATCTGCTCTTAACTCTTACCATAAGTTGGATGGGTTCCAACTAACATTCTTGCGCTTGATAGTTTTTCTTCGTTGCATTAACATCGAGAAATAAAACGAAACAAGCTCTCGTCGAGTTTTAAATTTTTGAAATGTTCGCCGGAACGCTTTTTTTTTGGTAATACGATTATTTTTTTTCCGCACCAACTTTTCTATTTATCCTCGCTGTACGTGCAAATGTAATTTTATATATCTGCCAGTCGTTGTCTGACAGTTAAATTTCCTCCATACGCGAAACGACAACAGACGACTGATAATAGATTTAACAATGTAAATTTACATTCCGAATACGTATCGACACACACACTGTTCAATCTACGGCGCTTTCGCCTTAATTTTCGTTCTCGCCTCTTTTTTTCCCCCGAATATGTATGCATTTTCTATTACGACCGGCGAGAATTCGAATTAGAAACTTCACACAGCGCTTTTAAAATCAATCAATCACTCAATTACATACGTAATTTCGAATACATCTATAATAAATTTAGTAGCGGGTAGGTGAATCGTAAATTAGCTAAAATTTACGCTGGCGATAAAAGTATACAAATTCGATTAAACTCAACAACATATATAAGATTAGAGCGGCAAGGTTTTGAGTTATGAGCGGGGCGTTCGGCGCACGGCTAGAAGAGCATACAAATTAACAATAAAATTTAATATTCTCAGTCAACATGGCGCAGCCGAACGGCGGCGGTCAAATAACTCGCGAACTGTTCAGTTAATCCGATAATTTAATCTCGAATTTAATCCCAAACGCAAAATCACAAACAGAGCCCGACGGCGGAATGAAATCTGAAGATTATGTGGAAATGTGTGATTATAAAGAGAATTACTCCGCTTCTGTGTGTGTGTGTGGAAGTTTAGAGGGGCCCGGAAAATTTCCCATTTCCCTCGAAAAAAGCCCGCCGACAATTATTTCCTTTATAACCAATCGAGGCTCGCATTAGATTAGCTAAACTATACAATTTTCGATTAATTTTAATTCATTCGACGGGTTTAATTTAAATTTACGACGTCACTTCGCACGTAAAAAGGGTCATTATTAAATGCAGTGCTTCACTTTTTACGACGACACTTCGCTTCTTAAAGGCAAAAACAAATCCGAAACGTCGCTTATAATTTTGCCTTTCATTATCTTCTCGGGCATAGGTATTTCAGTTTACGGCCACGATATAATCAGCAGCGCTTCGCAAAAGCTTTCCCGAACTATACTTGATGATAAGTTATTCAATATACACAAAAAACGCCCTACTACTAGCTACTAAAATTTCCGGTGTAAGTTGGTGTAGAAACTCAAAGAAGTGGGAGCAACAAAAGGGAGTGATTAGTGTTGCGATTTAGATTCTTTATGGGGGTGTCGAAGTGGAATGGGGGGGTTCGATTTCGCCGCCACTGCGAATAAAACTAGATTACGTTTATAGAAAATGCGAACACAGCTCGACAGGAGTAATTAAAAAGATGCACGGCGCTGTAAAAAGTCATTTATCACTTCCGTTTGAATAGTACGAATGCATTTAATGGGAGTTGCGTTTCTTTATCGCGAATAGGAAACTGCATTAGTATTTAAATTATGCCGCTTTAAGTATCTTCGGCTGGCATTAGAAAAGGTGCAGTTCCCGTTTCAGCAAGGAATTTTTTTCGGGCGATTTGCATAAAAAAGCTTCCCTTAAAATGCCGTTAATTAGATTATTTAAATGTCCACCTATAAACATATAAAGGAGTGAGGTAGTGGAGTTACCTAGATCTTGATGCGAATCGCATTAACGAGATACTCTTCTGTACTTACATACGGTGTAATCCTCAAAGAATTTCATGCCTATTTTCATCTTATATCATCCACTTATATGCAGGCGAAACGGGTCTTTGTAGTCTACGCTCGAAACAAGAGGCGACTTTCCGGCGGATTGCTCTGATGCTGAATTGCAGGCGGGAAAGCCGTGGAAAATTTGCGCCGCATTTCTTACTTAATTATTCGATTGCTTCGAATTCGCATTGGTGCAATTGATACGCTCCTTTGCCCACACTATGCAATTGTGTAAGTATTTTTATTGTGTAAGTGATTTTTAGGGAAGGAAAATTGTTTACACAATTTTTATACACCTAAAATATTCAACCACTTCATAACATCAAAGCGTCCCCATTTAGACACTTACCCCAGCTTTTCGTTTTAGTCCACGTGGTTATACAAAAAATCTACATCTAATTACACTAATAAATACACCTAGTGAATACTTAATGAATTCATTTTTTTGTTAATATTGTGTAATAAATTTATTCACAATCCCACGGACTAATTTAATCCCGCTCTCACCTTGCATTTTAAACGCTTTTTTGCTCGAGAGACCGTTTGTTTCTGGTGTGAAAATGCCTTTTAATTCCGCAGTTTCAATACTACTTGTGGCAGTATTCATCTTCCCGCTGGTAGCGAGATAAGGGTTGTAAATGAATAAGTGTGTTTTTTATTCGCCGCGCTAAAGGGCCTTTTGTTTTCAGCCGCACTCGGCCGGTTTTTCGGGCCGGCATGATACAGTCCTGAGTACACACGGTGTGTTATTACTCGCGGGAATTAATTTGAAATATTAGTTAATTTCGTTCGGGATTTTTTTTTTGATAATCTAGCGGCGAATTTATCGCGGCGAAACGACAAAAACGGGATAAGTAGAAACGGAAAAGTCGGGGAAAAAGTAGCGAGAAAGCGACGTAAATTTTACTCAAATATTCAATAAAAATCTCGCTTATTCCATTAAAGCTGCATTAAAAAGACGGAATA